GATAAAATTATTTTTTAAGTCAACAAAGAAGGTAGAGTGATAGACAGTAAAAAAAAGTAAAGATGGAAATTTTCGCAAGCCGGCTTGTGTTTGGCCGCATAGTTAGCATTTCCCCCACCATAATAGATTCGATAACCAGCTACCAAAGATGAAATTTGATTTCCTGAGTGAGTGAGTCATGGTAAATACATCAAAAGCTGTACAGACTATGAAGTCCAACGCCGCCAGCTGCAATAGGAATTTGGCTTAAAAATTATTCACCAAACCCCTCAATATAGAAGGTAAGAAACTTGAGTTGGGTAAGCATAAATTACCTTTTTGTCCCCTGACAAGTATAGAACTTATGGACCTACCAATTGGTATTAATGACGAGAGTGATGCATTTATTTTTAGAACACATCCTTGCATTTTTTTAGTCAAATATGTTGAAGAGAAGATCAAACATTAATATTTCTCAACACACAGAAATAGACATTTATCTAATAACAAGAATCATTAATTCATCAAGCAATAATATTTCTCAACACATAGAAAGAGACATTTATCTAGTAACAAGAATCATTAATTCGATGAGAAAGTAATATATATTGATTCCATTTAATACCATTTACAGAACTCGTAGACATATATGACCTACTTTGAAAAATAAAATCTATTAACATAATAACCCCTTTAATTACATGGAATAAAATTATATTTCATTTGTAAGTTTGATGTCACAAAATGCCTTCCTAAAACTCATAAAAAAATATAATACATTCATCATTTGCAGANNTTCCTAAAACTCATGAGAAAATATAATACATTCATCATTTGCGGATATCAGCATTCATTGGAGAATGTCATCTTGGATATCAAAAAGTAAATTGTATCAACGTATCAATGTCACAAATGCAACATAATTCTGAGAAAAATGGCAAGGTTGTACTTGGAATGATCTCATTATGTTAAACCTTAGGCAAATTCTTCCTGAAAATAAGCAATTCTCTTGTAATGCAGCATATATTTCAATTAACTTAGGGATCCACAACATGATAATGTCCCTAAATTAAAATCATACAAAATCTGTCACATAGCTTAAGGATACACGATGTAGAAAAAGTGGAAGAAAATTAAATATTTGTGAGTACCTCCGAATATCAGCATTGACTTTCAACCCTGTGATGGCTCCTTCTGCAAAGTGAAACAATTTCTCATGCTTCACCTGCTCAATAGATACTCATTTGTCAGCTACTTAACCCAGCATAAGATTTCAAATGGTACTAAAGGCAACTCCAAGATTGTGTGTGCTAAGATAAAAATAAATAAATGAAGGGTAATTGATTTTTTATATAGCCGAAAAACAATAATACAAGTTAATGAAATGATTGCTATCAAAAAGTCAAAAGATTGATCATACAATAATTTATTTACAAGAAAAATACACGTGAAAGTTGAAGATCAAAGATATGTACGTCTTACAAACCCTTCCAAACAATTGAGAAGTAGAGAAATATTACAATGGATTTGATCATTTTATCACGAATTCCAGAAAAACACAATCCAAGTTGATTAATAATCTAATTTTCGATTTAGTTGCATTCCAGTCTTTCATTTTCTTTANATCGAAGATTTAAAAATGCACATCTAATTTCAGTAACTGTAGGGTTTTTGGATTTTAAGAAAAGAAGAAACGAATACGACAACATCGATTAAAATTTGGGAGTCAGGGTTCCAATTATATGAAGAAATGAAGAAGCTCCAAAGGAAAATTGTTAACCAAAGGGGATACATGATGACTAAATCTTAGAGAAGAACAAATAGTGAAAATAATCTGTGATTTTGTTATCTATGGTTTGATTTCAAATGGACAGCAAGAACAATGATGGAGAGAAAGTGAAAGTGAAAGAGGATATAAGAAGTAGAGAGAGAAAACAAAATAGGGGAAAATAAGATCTAAGGAATCCAAATAGAAAAGAGAGGCAAAATTAAACAACAAATAGTAAAGAGAGAAGAAGAATGGAAAAGTCTTGAATGATTGTGTAAAGACAAGAGTAAAGAGGTATGGGAGCTTGTGTGGAGAAATGGAGAAACCATGTCCTGTGAGAAGAAAACTACGTAGTGCTTGAGGGGAAAAAATGAAAAAGGTAAAATTTAGTATATATGACATCAACAGGACACAAAGATGATGGAAAACATAGGAATTTGTCAATTTTTATTGATATAGTTTATTATATGGAGTTAAATTTTTGTAAATATTGGAAAGAGTTGCCCTCTATATTTCTATTAGATTCGGTGATAGACTCTCGATTTAATTTAACTGGCACAAAAACTATTAAAAATGGGATTACAAATTTAATGAATGTGCATATAGAATTTATGTTATGTGAAATGTATAGCTATTATATTAAAAAAGGAGGTCAGGGCAGTTCTACTTTCAAGAAATATTTTAACAAATTTAGATGATATATGTAATTATTTAGACTCCAATACAAGTGTTCCCTCATTTAGTTATAGTTCATCAATATCTTGAGCAATAGATGTTAGTGGTATAACTCTTGAAATTTTCTCTGAGTTAGCTAGGTATATGCACATGGATATTCGTAGTGTGTTACAACCAAAAGAATTACATGAATTTAGTCTTTTATTATAGTTGAGGTATAAAGAAAAGCAATATCTAATTGTATCTAAAATTGCACGCGATCTACTAACATCTCCGGTGTCTATGGTATCATCGGATGCTGCATTTAGTTTAGGTGGTCGAGATCAAACGAACGATCAAGACTAAAATAAGATATGTTGGAGGCTTTAATATACTTGAAAGACTGTGAATGTGTAGAATTATGTATTCAAAAACAAATTGACAGTATAATGGCCAAAGAATTGTAGCATATTTAATAATAGGATCTTGTAAGTTTTTAAATTGATTAATTTTTTAAAATACGTAATTTTTAAATTTATTTGTTTTAAGAAAAATTGTCACGAAATATTTTATTTGTGTACGATTTTAACTCTGCTTATGATAATTGTAGCCGATCTCAAACCCAAAAAAATGGGAGGATTGTAACTTTTATTAATACCCTGTTTGACACATATTTTTTAAAATACATTCTTACAAAACTCATTTTCAACCACATATTTTTCAATAAAATAATATTTTTCATCACATCAATAATTTTTTCTTACTTTTTATCCACATATTTTCCCATCAGATTACTATTTAAAATACATTATTTTCATAATAATATCCATCAAACAGCCCCTTAATTTATAATATGTATAAATTGCACAAATTTTAAATTTCTTTAAAAAAAAACTTTAGATTTGTCACGAATTAACAAAAAAAAAAAATTCGAGCCGTCTCGGCTCTGGCCAAAAAAGTCTGGACCATTTTTACTCCAGTCGAGCCGAATTTTGAGTTTCGGCTCGTGACTCAGCTCATTGACACCCCTAGCTTTGATGTTCGTACAATATATTTTTCTTAGACTACTAAGATATTTTAAATTTTAGGATGTCTCTTGTGTGTTCAACAATGCAACCATAACTATCTAATCTCGTGCTTAGAGGTGGTTTTCACAATGCTTGCTTATGCTTTTTTCTTGATTTAACAACACAATCATAATTGTCTAATCTCGTGCTTAAGGTTGTTTACAATACTTGCTTATGTTTTTTCTTCTTTCTTTCTTCATCGGTACTTATTTTCTTATTGATTTCAAAGGTGGTGACATTCTTGAATTAGGTCTCTTAATTCCAAATTATTATTGGTAATTTTGAAATTTGTAATTGGCAATTCATT